TCCTTCCCCCCTCCCCCCCCCCCCGTTTTCTTGACTAGGTTTTACTGGGACCTGACGATGCTGCTCCTGATGGTTGGGAACCTGATCATCATCCCCGTGGGCATCACCTTCTTTAAGGACGAGAACACCACCCCGTGGATCGTGTTCAACGTGGTTTCGGACACGTTCTTCCTCATTGACTTGGTCCTCAATTTCCGCACAGGGATCGTGGTGGAGGACAACACGGAGATCATCCTCGACCCGCAAAGGATTAAGATGAAATACCTCAAGAGCTGGTTTGTGGTGGATTTCATTTCCTCCATCCCGGTAGACTATATTTTCCTCATTGTGGAAACCCGGATCGATTCAGAGGTTTACAAGACGGCCCGAGCCCTGCGGATCGTCCGGTTCACCAAAATCCTCAGCCTTTTGCGGCTCCTGAGACTTTCGAGGCTCATCCGTTACATCCACCAGTGGGAAGAGGTGAGCAAAAAAAGGGGCTCGCGGGAGAGCCACCCTTGGCAACACTGGCCTGGTTTCTGCAAACACAAGGGAGTGGAGAGTTGCATATTTCGGACAAGGGGAAACTGACTCGTAAGCTCTTCAGTGCCCTTCTTCGGCGGCTTTCCCAGAGCTACTGCCCGGTTTCGGACTACAGTGCCTATCGTCCCAGCCAGCCTGGCCCGATGTCATGGATAATGGGAATTGTAGTTCAAAACATCTGGAAGGGGGAAGCTGGTCTAAACTCTGGAGCCCCAGGGGGAGCGGATCAGAATCACAGAATGGTGGGTTGCTAATAGGCATTTAGCAAAGATTTCTCCGACTTCAAGTTGTTTCCTGGTCAAGAACAACAGCCCAGAGATCTTCGGGTAGTGTGGGCGGCATATAAGTTAAATAAATAAATAAATAAATAAATAAATAAATAAATAAATAAGTAAGTAAGTAAGTAAGTAAGTAAGTAAGTAAGTAAGTAAGTAAGTAAGTAAACAGACAGACATGGATGGATGGATAAGAACAGCAGCAGCAACAGTGATGGTTTTCTCAACCCAGAATAAGGTTGATCTCTAGGACCCCCAGTGTCAATGTACACTGATATATCCAGATTGTTGCCTGCCAGTACAGCTCAGTTGGTTGGAGTGCCTGACTGCAGAGCTAGCCACTGAGAGTTCAAATCCCCAGAGCGATTGGTCAAGATCCCCTAGAACAGCGGTTCCCAACCTTGAGTCCCTAGATGTTTTTGGACGAAAGCTTCCAGAAGCCTTCACCATGAGTCGCGCTGGCCAGGATTTCTCAGAGCTGTCGTCCAAGAACCACCCGGGTGACCCAAAGTTGGGAACCATTGACCTAAAGTATGTGTGACTGATAGGGTTAGGTGCCCTCCCTCCTTGATGGTGTTGGGACAGGATGCATCATCCCAAATCCTCCTGAGTACAAAAGGCAAGGGAAGGCGTCTGTAAGTTGGAATCGATTGACACTGTATAATTATTAATTAAATGTGCAGATCAATCCAGTCTGTCATTTATAAAGAGCAGCAGTAATTGGTCCTTTTGCTTGAGCCCTCTTTCTGTCCCTGGCCCAGTTTCCCCTTTATTTTGTAGCTGGTGCTGTCTAGTGGGCTTTAAGGTTCTAGGATTCTAGTATGGTTCTAGAATGGTTCTAGCTTCCTGTCTTCCTCCGGGAGGCAGTGGAAGACAGGAGGGCCTGGCATGCTCTGGTCCATGGGGTCACGAAGAGTCGGACACGACTAAATGACTAAACAACAACAACAATAAAAGAAAATGCAACGGAGATGCTGATCCTGCAACTGAGAATGTCTGGCAATCCTTTATGGGCAGATTGCTATTCTTCAGCACAAATTACAAAATCTTCCTCTACACAATGTCAGCCCCTTGATGCTGCACGGACTGTTACTTTAGGCAGAGTGACAGGGAGACCACAGGTAGCCACTGTGGACTGCCTTGGACAAACAACCTTTCTTTCAAACCCATGACTAACCTCCAAAGGATGATGCTCTCACCAGGTGATGATGTGAAGCCTTTGGATTTGTTTGTTCGGTTTTTTTTTCCACTTTGTTTTTATAAAAGAGACTGGGGCTTATCCTTAGAGCTTGGGAATAATGACTGACAACTACTGCAATTACTTGTAACTAGTTACTTCTTGGGGTAACAAGAGTATTCTAGCAGAGTTACATTTCCCAAGTAATGTAACAATAAAGAACAAAGAGTAACGTGTAAAAGTTAAGCTACGATAAGTAACTTGTAACAGTTATTTTCATGCATTACTTTTTAAGAACCTGTTAAGACATTTTGGCAGTAAATTTTTTTTTCTACTGCAGCAAAACCAAGTCACAAGCAGCGCAACCGGTAAGCTAGCAAAGAACTTTTTCAAGTCTTGTAATGGCAATAACAAAGGACTGCATTTGAAAAAGCAAGTGGCATGAGAGAAATTGCTTTTAAAAGTTCCTTTAAAGTAAAAAGTACATTTAAAATGTAATTATATTTGCAAATTTACATGGAGGTTGAGAGCAACCTTCGCTCACGGATGGTCTGTTAGAATTTTGGGGCAAGGGCTAACTAGGCCAACGCCGGGAGGAAGGGGTGCCAAATGAAAGGGGCTGTTCTGCTTCCTGTCTTCCTCCAACATTTGCCCCCCTGAGGTGGCTGCCTCATTCTGCCCCACGCTAGGGCCGGGCTGCAAGCAAGACGCTCCTCCATAAGTGCCCCCATTCATCAGGCTTTCCCGCTGTACGATGGAAGTGCCTAATTTCTTTAAAAAGCAATGTAGAGATGAGAGCTAACCTGTAATGAACTATAAAATGAAAGCAAATATTTGTAGAGCTTCCTCGTGGAAGCGTCCGGGAAGCAGGCATGAAAGCGTGATGGCCAAGTGTCTTGGCTTCGGCCTCTGCTTTCACAAGAGCTTGGGTCTAATGTGGTGTTTCTCAGTGAGGACAGCTGAAGCAGGGGAAATGGATTGCCTGACGGCAGTAGAAACGGAGCAGCCCTCGAGGGCTGCAGTTTGATCAGAAAGAAAGAGGAACGTGCGGGAGTGGAAATGGAATACGAGAAACCTTTATGACAGAAGCAAGAATGGAAAAACTAGGTTATGAAAATTTGTCTAGGATTCTCAGGTCTGTATTTGTCTGTTTAGAGAAGGGAGAGGTGTGAGCAGAGTTTGGCAATATTACCATCTATTTAAAAAATGTTGGACTATTGCTCCAGAAGGGCACAGGCATCATGGGTGGTGGCCATGCTAGCCTGGGGATTCTGGGATCTGTAGTCCCAAACAGTAACTTTTCCAAGCTCTGGCTGTGAGGCATTTATAGACTGTGGACTGATCTGGGGCAAGGCTGTTTCTTCTCTGATTTTTTCCCCTTCTCTCTGGGCTAACAGAAGAAACGCTTCTATTGAAACCCAGCTTCCCAATGATATTTATTTTATTAGATTTATACCCCGCCCATCTATACCAATGGTCTACTCTGGGCAGCAATGATAGGGCCAGACCATTTGACTCACAGTAGGTTCTACCTTGGCCAGTTAAGAGGATCAGGGAGCAAGTGCTGGAAAGAGATCTTGTTCTGCCTTGGAACTTAAGAGAGTTGGTGCCAAAGTAGACAATATAGAGCTGCAGAGTTCTGAATTTTCAGCAAAAATCTCTTTGCTACACAATAGAATTACAGAGGCTCACAGAGGAGTTCCCTAGATTGTCCACCCCTTTCTCATTATTTTATTTGTTTGTTTAAATGAATACCCTGCCTGTTTAGTGGACAAGCCACTAATTTTGGCAGCTCATTAACTGGTACTTAGTTTTCAGTAACTCACTCTGAGACAATTGTAGTAGAAAGAATCAAAACATTTCATTACTTACAGTTGTAAACGGATCAACAGCAAAATAATAACAAACCAAACTGACATCAACAAACTAAAGAGAGGTAAAAGAAACACTCAAAGAAGTGGGACTTTCTTTGAGTTCAGAGGCAGGAGGGAACGATTATATTTATTTATTATTTATGTATTTATTTAATTATTTAATTTATACCCCACCTATCTGGTCAATTTGCCCACTCTAGGCGGCTTACAACATAAAAACATAACAAGTATATAAGGTGTACAAATTAGTGGTTTTGGATTATATGGAGTCCAAAAACATCAATCTGCAGACCTCGAGCCAGCCGTGCGGCCTCGGGGTGTGTGTGTCCTTCTTGCTCCCTCTGCTGAGCAGAGTTTTGGGTTTCTGCCTCAGAGGCTCTTCCTGATGATACCCCTCGATGCTTGACTGAAGATGCTCACCAGATGGAGATCCTTGGAGAAAATGGGTTAGAAATTCCCTTTGGGATGTGGGAGACCAGGTGCCGGCTTCCATCTTGCAGTCAATCAACTGTTTTTCTGCTTCATTTTTCAACATTAATTTCTAGCTCAGCAGGAATTCCGAGCAGGCTCTCCGGGGAGTCAGCTAACAAATCAATTTAAGCTCCCTGGAGCCTCCAGCAGTTCGTTAGCAATAGGATCTTTGTCATCGAGGGCAGCGTCATTCGGCTCATGTTGCTTTCCTCTGCAAACAGAGAGAAAGCTGCCCAGATGTCAAAAACATAAGGAAAGCCATCTTGAGTAGACCAAAGGCATACCTAGACCTGGGTTCAACCAGATGCCAAGGAGAAGTCGGCAAGCAGGAATTAGTGTGACAGCGCTCTCCTGCTTCTTTCTCCAACAACTTGCACTCCTGGACATATGCCTCTGATCCCAGAATGTAATATCCATCCATCATGATTAGTAGTACAGTCGTGCCCTGCTGGACGATTACCCTGTTTAACGATGAATCCGCTTAACGTTGATGTTTTTGCGATTGCTTTTGCGATCACAAAATCATGGTTTAAATGAGGATTGTTGTTTTTTTGCGGTGCAATGATCGGGTTCCCTGCTTCGGGAACCAATTTTCGCATTATGACGATCAGCAAACAGCTGATCGTCGGGTTTCAAAATGGCCGTTTGATGATGTTTTTGCTCTACAGCGATTTCGCTAGAACAAATTAGCATCGTCAAGCGAGGCACCACCGTAACTAGGGACGTACATCAACACTTGTCTTGCTCTTACGAGTGAGAAAAAGTGAGAACAGGATCCTATGAAATGATTTCCCTTGCTCTGAGATTTTTTTTAATTTCAGGTCTTGACAAGTGTTCTTGTGTCTGCAAGAATTGCTTTTGCACAGATTGCGCAACTGCACAAAACTAGGACTGCTGCTGCCTTCTCGCACGGACTTTGAAAAAAACAACAACCTCAGAGCCATTGGATGGCTTGTTTGTGTGTGTTGCTCCATCCAGCCGCCCTTCTAAACTTCCTACCTGTTTGTGCTTTGCTTCAGAAAGGGAAAAGATGCTAGTTTTCTCCAAAGACATTTTGTGCAAATTGCAGGGGTAGGTGGGAAGTACTTGTCTTATTTTTACACTGTAAATGAGAACTCTCTTAATAGGCCATTCCAGCAAGAG